CCAGCAACCTCCAGCTTTAGGTCCCAGTAGGAACACTGGTCAAACATAGTCAAAATCTTCAGCCTTAGCTGCAGCCAACACTGTACACATCTGAGGAAAGGTTAAAAAAAACCCCCTGACACATGTAGCAGAGATTGGAGGAATGGGAAGGGGAGGGAATTCCCTCACTGCCTCACGCAGCAACCAGCTATGCCCAAAAGCACAGGAAACACCCATAGTATGCGCAGATCATCCCTGACCAATGGCTGTCTTACCTGTCCTTGAACACTTCCAGTAACAGAGAATCCACAACTTCCCTAGGTAGTCTGCTCTACTGCCTCACTGTTCTAACTGTGAAGAAAATTTTCCTGATAGCCGATCTAAAACTCTTTAGCTACAACTTGAAGCAACTAGTCTGTGTCCTATTTTTCGCAGCGAGAGAGAAAAGGTGTTTCCCTCTTCTGCATAACAGCCCTTCAAATTTTTAAAGGCTGATATCATGTCCCCTCTTAAACACCTTATCCTCAAACTGAACATGCCTAGCTCCTTCAATCTTTCCTCATATGACTTGCCATCCAAGTCTTTTATCATTTTTGCTGCCTGCCTCTGTACCTTCTCTAACTTCTCCACATCCTTTTTAAAATGTGGAGCCCCAAACTGCATACAGCACTCTAGATGAGGCCTTATCCATCTCGGGAAGAGAGACACCACACCTTCCATGTCTTGCACTTAATGCTTCTATTGATGCATACCAAAACTGCATTTGCCTCTTATAGAAATGTATCACGCTGGAGAATCAAATTGTCTTTCCCATCTGTCAAGATCCTCTTGAATTGTGCTCCCATCCTCCAAAGTGTTTACATTCCTTCCCAGTTCTGTGTTGTTTGCAAACTTCTCGAGAAGCTTTCTATGCCATATGCCAAATAAGCACATTTAACAACACTGGGCCCAGGACAGATTCCTGTGAGACTCCAATCAAAACCTCCTGCCATTCTGATATGGATTCATTTATAATTACCTTTTACTTGTGGTTATTGGGCCAGTTGTCTATCCACCTTATAGTAGTTGTGTCCAACCCACATTCTCTAATTTGTTTATGAGGTCACAGGGGAGCTTGTCAAAAGCCATGTTGAAGTCCAGATACACTATATCCACAAGATTCCCTTTCTCCACCCAAGCAGTTATTTTATCAAAGGAGATCAAGTTTGCTGGACACAATTTGTTCTTAGTAAATCCAAACAGGCTGCTTGTGATCAGCCTTTCTTCCTTCAGATGCTGAATATGAGAAAATCCATATTGAAAGGCTGACAGAACTATCTGCTAGCCAAAGAAAGCATAGGAAATCATAAAATTTGTCCAGATCCTCAGAACAGGACAAACGGGCATAGTTCCAAGCTGAGAATCTGGCACCTAATACATGGACTCAGATAAACTGTCTTTATGGCATTTTACAGTACAGTCATTACTACAATAAAAAAACCTTCCAAGTCAGCAATAACTAATTCTAAAAATAGAAAATAAGATCTGAAAGCGACTTGCCATTTAAAGGTGTGGGCTAGCTGGACCTACTTGTACCAAATTTCATATTTCATCCGGTTAAAAAAAAAAAAAAAAGCCTGGTAGACTATCTGACATGGGGCAGCAGCCTCAATCCAACTCCCAATAGACAAGTATCTACATAACGAAACAAGATTTCTCTTTAGAACTGGCACCCTCAATGACACAATTAAGCAGAGTTGCCTAAGATGGAATGAGCAAATAAGTCCAAACTGTTTTCACGATTGGAGGCAGCTCCTCAAGATCCAGAATGAACATATTAACAGAGTGGTGTTAGAGGAACTAGCACTGACAATGCCTGTCATACCTATCCTTCAACAGGTATGGTATGGGCATACAACTGGAGGTCAGTCTCCAGAGTTTTCTTTTCACAAGGGTAAATTCAACAACAACCAATATGTGCATATAGTATATTATCTGTGGAAATCTACTCCAGCATGGTAAATCGATCTAAAAAGTAAATCACAACATACTCCTCTACTTCAATTGGAGGGAAGACTTTCAGGGGAAGAAATGGTAAAACAGTATTTTTAAAGCTCATTCTACTGTGAAACAAAAGCTGACAGATCTGATATGATACACTGAGGCAACACAAATATTTAATGCTGTTTGTTTGAAAAATGATGAAAATTGACAGTAGTTCTCAGTCTCTGAGTGGTGACCCTCAAAAGTGTCAACACCAGCTTCTAGAGGATTATGATCTCATTCCTATTCCCTAACCATAGCTTTGAGTTATTCATTTCCTATAGTAGAGTCAGGAACTGAAGGGGTCGGGGGGACTGCTGGTAAATCACCTTTGCTTTGTACCGCTAGTGTGCTCGTGCAGCAAGAGGACCATCCAGTCCCAGAGTAGCCCTGGGGATACACTAATTTAAGGTGTGGTTCCCAGGATCTCTTCCAAGGTGCCCAAGGCAACAAGAAAGAACCACAATGATCACTATGGTTACCATATATCCGGGTTTTCCCAGATATCTTCTCTTTTTTGGCCCCCTGTCCTCCTGTCTGGGCAGGTTTTTAAAATGCAAATGAATGTCCAGGGTTTTGCTCTGCCTCTGGCTTTTCCCCACACTTTCAGCCTGGTTGCTTGGGGCTGAGGGCAGCAGGCCAAGGTTATTGGCTGTCAGGGAATCATGGGCTCTGCGTGCAGGCCCCAGCAGCTGCTAGTCGGTGAGAGAGAGAGAGAGAGAGTGTGTGTGTGTGTGTGTGCGCGTGCGCGCACACTTGTGCAAGCTGCAAGGGGAGCAGGGCTGGGTGTGGGGGCTGCAGGTCAGGAGAGAGGGGCACCGGCAGGGCTGGGGGCCGGGGTACACTCAGTCAGGAGTGAGAAGAAGTAGCAGGACTGGGGGGAGGGAAGGGCTGCAGCTTAGGAGTGAGGGGCAGAGGCAGGGTATGGGTATATCACTGCCCCCCACAATCATATACCGCTTCTCCCTCTCTCTCCCACTCCCACCTGCCCCTACCTCCCTCCTGCTCCGCCTCTCCCCCACAGATGTCCTCTTTTTTGATACTGGAAATATGGTAACCCTAATAATCACATTTTAGGCTGAACATAAGGAAAAACTTCTTTACTGTCTGAGGCCCGAAGGCCTGGAATAGACTCCCCCCAGAGGTGGTACAAGCACCTACTATGTACTCCTTTAAGAAGCATTTGGATGCTTATCTTGCTGGGATCCTATGATCCCTGCTGACTTCCTACCCTTGGGGCAGGGGCCTGGACTTGATGATCTTCCGAGGTCCCTTCCAGCCCTAATGTCTATGAAATCTATGAAGTCACACCCAGTCTTCCCCTGTGGCTCACCTCTCTCCCTCTACTCATCCACATGCAACCTTAGTCATCCAACCCTTTGGCACATCATAGGAGGAAGGCTGGTGTAGACAATAGCTCTCACTGTCTGGGGAGGCTCTTGGTTCAGAAAGTATAATCAACACACATTTGCAGCAATTAGGGTTGCAATGCCAACCCTCCCAGATCGGCTGGAAGTCTACCAGAATCAGCCTCACTGTCCTGGTGACTACTGAAAGCAATCTGGGAGATTGATGTTGTGAACAGGTTGAACAGTACAATTAATTACATCACGTCCTGTTGGGAAAAAAAAATCTCCCGGAATAGCTTCAGAGTTAGCAACCCTAGCAGCAACCTCTGGTAAAAAGTAACAACCTCTTATCAGCAACGTTTCCCCTGAGCGCTGTGCTTTGAGGTAGCACTTCTTACAAAAGCAGTAGGCACCAAGGAACAACATAGCATCAGACCACTGACATGTTGCTATTCACTGGCACCAGCTGTATTTACAACGTGCTGTTTTTGTGTCCTCAAGGCTTCTTTGTGAGCTCTAACAACATAAAAGTGGCCTTCCTATAACTGAATAAGGTCCATTTTCTCTGGCTTTCCGGAGAGGTAGATGTACTCAAACATTTGTCCTCAGTCACCAGGAGTGTCTCATTTACCATTGTGAAATTTCCCACAGTTCTTCCTTTGAATCATCACTGGAACTAGGACATATTATTCTGCAAGGCCTACTTGTCAGTGGCTGAACATGAGGAGATGGTATTTAAATGGTAGGAAACCTCTGTTCTTCATGATTTTGGCAGCCTAGTTTAACTCAGAGAACTTTGCTATCACATTTGATTGTTTGAAATGTCACAGCCGATCGTTTGAGAGGATATTTCTAGCATTCCCTTCTATAACACTGATATACCTTTTTGTACTGGTTTTCCTTATTTTTGTGTCTTTGGCTCCATGGTAGATATGGGCTACAGTATCTACAAAGGGTAAAACTGATAAAGAGAGGACATTTTAAAAAGGCAACAGTAAGAAATTTTTGTATAGCCTTGGTAATTGCAGGGAACCATGCTATGTAAGATTTGAATTTAGATCTTGGGAAAGGGTAGCTGACTTCCACCCAAGATAACTTCTCTTAATCTTTGAAAATAACAACAAGAGTAATATCTTTTCTTACAAGTGATATAAGAGCACAACAGCACTGCCCAGTGCTTTATTTCCTATTTTTTCAAAACTGTCTGTTGAAGGTACTGCAAATAGTATGAATGCCATTATTTAATAATGTATTAAACTCTCAGAAAGAAGCCTAGAAACCTCCTGCCAATAACCTTCTGATCTCAAGTTTTTTGGTAAGAGAAACATCACACCAACTACCCTGCTGCTTGTCATTGTAGCTCAAAGAGATTTAGTACCTGTGCTCACTTGGAGGAAACTCCAGTTTCACACTGAAATTTGCAGCTAATCAATATAATCTGCATTACAATACACGGTATTACTGAAGTGATGGGATACTTTTTAATGATCTCCCACTGTGTGTCACTTTTATGTTTCATTGCTGAAATGCTACTTCAGGGCCAGTAATTTCTCCTGGAGAAAGTTGTCTTTGTTTCTGGCAGTGCAAGCTCTTCCATTTTACATTGACTGGATAACTTGACATTTTTACCCCATTCCTCCTTTGCCACATAGGAAAAGGTAAGAGAAAAGACTAGAAGAATTTACTTGAAGCAAGGCAATTTAAGGTAAAGAAAAAAAAAAACCTCTCTAAAACCCAGAAACACTTCACATAGCCAGCAATCCAAAACTCTTTACCAGTTGTGAATCCGCACACTTCTCTCAGCAAGAGCTAACAGAGAAATGCAAGCATATGCCCCAGGATTAAATAGAGTTTTTCTTACATTTTTAAGGAAAACTAGCAGTTACATCCAGGATTTTATATACACAGATCAAGAGGTCAAATTTACTCTAATATTAATAATATTAGCTACAGCATGCCTGGTTTCTGCTAAGATTGGAAGATAAACAACACCTCTTTTGGCACAGGACCCTGAGTTACTCTGTAACACCTAGGCTACTGACACAAGCACCAAGAGATGACAAATTTACAAATTAACAGACACAAAACTGTATAGCAGGTATCTTAAATCCCCTGGTTTATTTTTAACATTATTTGTAAAATCACAGGATTAGAAATGTTATTTTCAATTTCAGGAGAACAACAAGATGAATCTTCACTGGAAAGGTATTTTGAAATTAGTAATATTTGTAAGATCACACTCTTACATGTATTTTTTATCAACAGAAAGCGCTTTTCAGATAAGGGAAATGATCATAATTCATGTATTAAAGATAGAGAAACTGATATAAAGATAGGTAAAGTGACAAGCCAAGATCATCCACCAGCCAGAACTGATGCAACTCAGATCTCCTGAGTCTCATTTATGTTTACCCTACCTCTGAGAGAGAAAGGGACAATAATCAATCAGGCAGAAGGCTGGCAGAAGACAGGGTGGCTCCCCAGAGACTAGCTGGTTCAAAGGCATGATCCTCCAAGCAGGCAACAACCTACTTCACCAGATGCTATATGTGAAGCATCTAATATAGAAAATCAAATTAGATTTGAGTTAACACAAGGATGGAAGAGTGTGGCAACCAATAGAGGGAACCATCATTTAAAAGAACATGTTGGGTGCCTCCCAGGGCAGCAGCAACACTGATCCAGCCACCCAGAGCCTGACAGCAAGCCAGTGTGTGGCTCTGGATGGCCAGGTTCTGTTTCTGATGGCACATACTGCTGCCATGTGCACCACACAGCTTTTTGTGGCTGGTTTTTGGGGGGTTTTTTTGATACCGGGACATCGGTATCAAATTTTGGCACCATGCTGCAAATTTGCAGTGTGGCACAGAGTTGCATGTTTGCCACACATGGTTTACAGTGCCACAAACAGATTTGAGGTGCGGCAAACTTCACATGTGCGCTTGTCTGGATGCATCCCTTGTGTTCCAGAGATGTTCCTCTCTAGGGGTTTTCAATCAGTGTTTTTCAACCTTTTTTCATTTGCAGACTCTAAAAATTTTGAATAGAGGTGCAGAACTCTTTGAATTTTAAGTGTGGGTATTCACATAGTTTTGATTGATCATAATCATCTTTCGCAAGCTCCTTAGACATAGTCTGTGGATCCCCAAGGCTTTGTGGACCACAGGCTGAAAACCACTGATCCAGACTACTGTGTTCAGTCCTAACATATATTTGGAATAGACACAAAGATACCAATAAATTGAGAGCACAAAATACGTGAATCAAAAAATGCCTGCAAGACAACTGGAAGAACAACTGGAAGAATCTAAATATACACCAACTATGAATAATGTAAAACCTACACATGAGTAATTGAAGTATGGAAACCTAAAAGAGCAAAATTCTTCTCTATACCACTTCAATAGCATGAGCATGTTTGAGGGCAACATTTGTTCCCTGTAAGGGAAAATAGTATGTACAATAGCCCATGGATGTTTAATTAGGAATAACTTGATTACACTTAGCAAAGTAAAAGAATACATTAGATATTAGAAATGTATAACTTCATTAAAAAAAACCCTAAAGCAATATTCTCCATTTGTGGACCATTTGATGGTGGTATGTAGAATGCCAACCAGTCAATCGTGCTGGTTTGTTTCTTTATTTTCAGGTGCTAAAACACATCAAAGATAACAAACACTGCACAACTTGCCTGCTATTACTGTTCCATGCAAGTTGTTGTTCCAGTTGTCAAAGGGCTGAATGGGATGGGAGGTGAATCATGTGCACAATCACAAATGACAGGCTTGAGGGCCCATTCTCTCTCTCTTTTTAGGTTACTCTACTGAGCCATCACCACAGATTTTTGAGAGAGAAAGAGAGAAAAAAAAAAAGAGAGAAAGAGATGAAGAAAACAAATGAATAAAAGAGAGACTACCCCATTAAAACAGGAATATGGTAAGAAAAATAAATCACGTCCCCAATGAAAATGTTACAGAATCTGTATTCTAAAGGAAACGATTGAAGATCCATTGTACATTCACCTGAAATTTAACAAGTGGCACATTTGTGAAGAAACAATCCTACAGTCATAGGGAGATGGACTTAGTGACCAAATAACATTGTTCCCCTTCTCTAATTTCTGTGATTGAATGAGAACTCATTTTGGAATTAAATGAAAAAACCTGTGTATAGTCCTATGGCATAAGTCATTTTGCCATCCTGTTTTTTCAGTGACCATGCTTATTTTAATACTATTTTCCAGCTGACTGATCAGAAAGATATACAGATCAGGAAAGCACTCATCTCCCTGAATTTCTCCTTCTCTCCCTTTCATGAGCGAATCATTTTTCCATTTTAGTTTCCACAAAGGGTGCTAATGGAAAGCCATTTTTGGTGAAACAAATGATTTGAGGCTAATGGATTGCTAATGCATATTATGAGCAAAATTATATCAGAGTTAAACCTTTAATTTCAGATGACATGGACAAACAGGTGAAAGCTGAAATGGAGAGAACATTAACATTGGAAATTGATTTCTGTGCATGCACTGATGTGAAGTTATTGCCTTTCCATATGATCACTAAAAGATACAGCCTACAAAAACAAAGTCAATCACCTAAATGGCATCACAAAAAGCTGGTTTGCTCTAAAATCTGTATTTACAGTTAGTATTTATTGCTACCAAAAAGAACAATTATAGCCTAGCCTGAGTATCAGAGAACTTGAAGAGGATATCAGGAATATGCCAGTCCCTGCTACCAGGGTCCTCTCTGTTTTTTAACCAATGGTTGCCTCAGACAAAAGGCACTGAATCCTGGAAGTAAGCAAGAAGGTAAATGCCTCCATCGACAAGTGGTTCTGGCACTCCCCTCAGAGCACGGAGGCCCAGGTGCTGATCCCTATCCTCAAACCCTTTTTGTATTAGATAGCCACAAGGTAAGAACCACAAGCAACCCTGAAAACAGGGATTGGAGAAAAGTGCCACTGGGTTTCAGGATCAAGCTCCCTTTTGCTTACTTTGTCTCCAGTCCCAGGAATCTTGTAGTTTTAGCTGCACAATGGTCCAGGTTTAAGGCGAGGAGAAGAGGATGCTTCCTGCTGCTCCTCCCACAACCCCATACTGTTCTAGAGCCTGATGGTTATGGAAGTCTTCTAAGAAATGGAAAATGTGGGTATGAATCATCACTGTCTGCAGAAGCCTAGAACCCAGATCTCTTATTTCGAGGGTTAGTACTCTAACCACTAGACAAGTGAACCTCGAGCAGGATGTACTGATATCTTTTCAAGTGTGCTGCACATTGCCATGCAGAGTTAGCACTGTTAGGTATGCAAATATGATTCACAAGATAAATCCAGAGATTTAAAAGAGCAATCCATAATGTTAAAAAAAAAAAAATTCTGACCTGTTGTGGTCTTTTTAAGTTCTTTGCAGCGGAAGAATTGCTCTTTTATAGTTCCATGTTCCAAAACACAAGTGAAAGTTTAGAGCTGGCATTTTCCAAAAGGCATCACAACTCTAATAAGGGTTGCCTTGATTCTAAAAAAAAATTGAGAATCACTGCACCAGACTATTGGAAAAAAGGTGGGCAGTTTGGTGCTAAAAGAAGGGATTCTGGATTACAGTATTAGGTACATAAGCTTCTAAGAGGAGTCAGAGTTCAGACATGCCTCTGTGTTTCGCATTTTCTATTGGCTACTTCTAGGTATTTTGGATCATCCTCTGGAGGTGCTTACCTCTCTCCATTCTCTGTATACAGCACATCAGTCAAATTGGAGGTACTTCATTATCCCAGTTGGCTATATTTATGGACTAAAGCTGCAAAGATTATTTAACTCTCTTGAGCTGAGACACCAAAATTTTAGGTGCTAGAATGCCTAAAACTAGATGCAGCCCAAACCAAACTTGATTAACCTCTGTGTTACTGTTTTTGTCATTGTTACTGCAAAGGCAAACCAAACAAAAAGCTACATCATGTACCTCTAAGATAGGAAAAATGTAACACGTATACGTGTAATAAGTGTTTTACAACACAATTTTAGAAGGAATATTTTACAGACATGTTAGAGCACTACAATATTGGGAACTTTTAAGAGGCCTTTCAGAGTTAGGTATACTGTCTTTTGAAATACTAATGGACATTCCCACTACATTTAAAAAGAAATGGAGCATTTAGTCTTTTAGCCCTCATTGAAAGAGCTATCTTAAGACCAGGGACAGACATTACACTTTTACTGCTATATGTGATTGGAAACTGGTCTATATCATTAACAGAAAAGAAGTTAGGCACACATAGACTGTTTAAAAATGATAGAACCAAATCTATGTCTCCCCCTCCCCCCACCGCCAAAATGCTAATGTGTATTCTGTTCGCTACCAATCTAAACTATACCACTTACAGGAAATGGTGTAAATTCAATCAATTCCACCATGGGCTTTTTGAATGTCTGTACCTAGCCTGCGTGCGTGCAGCCCAGAACAACTTTGATGTCCATTTTCCAACACTATACCTTTAAAAAAAATCATTACATACTATACAGCCTGCATGGGTGCATGTGTGTGTGTGAGGCGGTGGGGGGGGCACCTGGCATGAGATGTGTGAGTCTCCTGCCTGTCTGCTAGCCAGGGAGAGAGCAGGGTAAGGCCAGGGAGGGGGAAGGTGGGAGGGAGGAAGCCTGCACCAGCCTCATGAGCAGCAGCTGCCCCAGAGGCTAGTGCTGAGCTCAGCCAGGACATGGGAGTCATCCATCTGCACCCCGCCGCCCCCCAACCCAGCCAGGAAGAACACAGAGGGCAGCATGGGGGTGGTGGGGCAGCCATAGGCTGGCTCACGGGGTGAGTCATGGGGTCTCCTTCCCTTGAGGCAGGGGCATGGAGGGGGCCAGGAAGGTATCTGAAGAAACGGCAGGCAGCAGGGATGTGTCTGCACTACCCCAGGGTAAGTGGGAGATATAGGGGGATCCAGGGAGGCGGGGAAAATGGGGGAGGGCACCCTTCATCTCCTGCAAGAAGAACAAAGGTTCTTCCAGGGCTACAGCCACCTACCTTGCCTTAGATAATTGTCCCCCCAGATAACCCCAGCAGCTAGTGCCAGCAGAAGTGGCTTCTCTTGCCTGCTCTAGGTGAGGATGGGAAGCCAGGACGGTCATTTAAGGCAGCAGAGGTTAAGCTTCCCAATTCCACCTTCCACAGGAGTCTGCCACTGGCTGGGGGAGAGGAAGCAGACAGAGCCAGCTATATTTTAACAGCCCTTGCAGCAGCAGGACACTGACTACTGTTGTCCCTCTGCTTTACCTGTGGCAGGTTAGTTCGCCATGTCTTGCAGTTGTATGACAAGGTTGATTGTGTAGTTGCGGTACTAGGTTAGACAAGGATTTGTATGGAATGGTTTGGCTAGGGATGGTGGTTGGACTAGATGACCTCCAGAGGTCTCTTTCCAGCCCTACTTCTCTATGCTTCTATAAGATGGGGGTGTCAAACATCCCACCTGCCAGGCAAGATCCAGACAGCGGGGCTCCTTGCAGATTGGATCCAGATCTGGGAGTGGCAGGGCATCAGAGGCACTGGAGTCAGCAGCTGTGGCATCAGCAGTGATGGCACTGGGAGGGCCAGCAGCTGCAGCAAAGGGCCAGTGGTGGCAGCAAGGATGACACAAATGATGGTGGTAGTGGTGGTGGGGATAGTGACAGGAGGCAGCAGCACCAAGCAGTAGGGCAAAGCAGCCATGGTGATGGTGCTCCAAGAAGCCATGGGATGAGTGGGGCTGTGCTGAAACAGCTCTTCCGCTCCTGCCCCCGCCCCCCCCACCTCCCACCACCAAAGCCTAAACATGCCCTTTAGCACCCGGGCTGTGTGGCAGGCCCCACTTCCCGCTAGCTCCACAGAAACATTCCTTGGCCCACCAGGAGCAAGGCTGAGTTTGGAGAAAAAGTCTCTGTGGGCCAGATCAAGTTTGTGGGCCATGTTTGATGCCACTACGATAAGCAATACACACTCTAATGAGAAATATGCTATGAACCATCTCTGATTTAAAAGATCTCAAGTTTACCTCCTATACCAGAGCCTTTTTGATCAATATAAGAGGCGTTTTTAACTTCAGAATTTCTCATTTTTTATTGCTCTGTGTCATTGTTTTCATGTTACTTAGGTGTAGGTTTTTTGCATTTAATTTATTGAGCTCTCAAAAAAATCTATTACAGGCAATTACTTCAAGTTCATGAAGAGGAAAGGAAATGTAGTCTTAATCAATAGAATTGCTTTTTTGTTTTCTCAATATGGATCACGGACTTGACTCCTGCTCAGTCCTTTGGGTGGCACAAAAATAGTCTTGTGGGTGCAGGAGGAACTGGTTCATAAAATAGGGACAACTCTTTCTGGCATATGAAACATATAGCCAGTAAAACTGCAACCAGCATTCCTATAATCACTTTATCTGCATAGGGACAATGGTTTGCATATGTAGTTAATAAATGTGCCATCTGTCTGCCTGTCCTATCTTAAGTGAGATCTTAGGGGTGGAGTTTTTTGTTTTGTTTTGTTTTTGTTCTCATTGTTGCTTAAAAATGTCATAATATTTATACAGTATTTAGTGCTTACAGGACTTTACAGCCTCAAAGTAATTTAAAAACATTAGTTGGTATTTATCTTCATTCTAAAATGGTGGAGAAGCTATTCATCCAATGCACAGTTGTCCAATGAGCCACTACATCCTTAAGGGTACAATGCCAAATGCTCTGTCTGTTCAACTTTTCCCCTAAGCTCCAGTCTTGAGTTCACGGACATCACTTGGATTTGCTCCAAGCAAGCATTTTTTAAATGAAAATTAGGGAGTAGCCTTTCCCTTCAATTGTGGGACATTCCATTTCTCAATTAAATAAACTGTGTCCTGATACTCTGGTGATAAGCTGCTTACAAATGAAAATTCTGGTAATAACTACCAGATGAGATTTTATGAAACTCTGTTCGAATACTTTAT